AATAGGTCAAGTGAAGCGGATCCACTGATCCACCAAGGTTTTCTGTCTCTCATCCATCGCATCGAAGGCACCTGAAAGCCAAAGTCCAAAATCCGGTCTGCTTCGTCGATCACCTGCCGCGTCTTCCCCACGACGAGCAGAAGAAAATGGAGACGAGCAAGTAGAAGTGTCCAGCTGAAACACCGTTGAGATCCGGAGTGCTCAAGGGGCAGCTCAACTGAAGTGGGAAGCTTCTCGCACGTACAATCCGTGTTCAAGTGTTGGCCTGTGCAACAATGGGAAAATCAATGACAATGAGCTGTGAAACGGAAGTAAATATACATCCAAGATCATCCAAGTCTTGCGGGACAAAATGGCTCCCCTTAAAACCTCCAAAGTCTTCAGCTGCAACTGATCAGATCGACTCGACTTGGACTTTTAAAGTCCTGGCTGCAACTGGCTGGGTAGACCAGGATCAACAAAGAGGCAGCCTCGAAGCCCGGTGATTCATCCAAGTGCTGCAGGAACCTTCGCAGTTCAATCGTGCAGGCTTCGCACGGCGAAAAAAGCTGCGCTGCTGAACGGGTGCATTTTTCGTGCACAAACCAAAAATGCGCTTCTCGCCGTCGGGAATGTTCTCACCTCAAGTCTTCTCTACGATGCTCTCTACGAAGCCAGAAAACGCTCGGGGAACCTGGACGCATCACCCACGGACCCGTCGTCGTCGTCCGTCGGCCTGCCAGGCGTGGCCACCAGCATGCTCATCGTCGCCACGGCGTTCTGCTCCTGCGGTGCGATCCACGGTGAGGTCGGTTTTCTCCACGGGTCCACCGCGACCCATGGAATTCGGGGTCATGACTCCCTAGCGTGTTGGATTGATGTCTGCTGCAACACTAGGGCCTAGAGGGCTTGCAGGCAAGCGGTCTTTGGTCTGAAAAAAAAGGAAAGGAACACGGAGAGTTTGGGTGGGTTCATTGAGATTCTGTCAGGGCTCTCCTCTTCAAGAGAACGACCGCCCACAATGCATCCAGCGGAAAGCTCATGCTCTTGTCCAATGTTGGACAGGACCTGGCTGCAGAACCGTTCGTTGGAGGAGTTGCAGTAAAGATCTCAACGCACTTGCCACAAAGCCAAAACAAGAAAAACGTGTGGCACGCCTAGAAAATCCTAAAAGTATGTTCGCCAAACAAAAACATGGAGGTTGCTCCTTCTCGTTTCCGCCTCTTCTCGTCTCCGTCGTGAAGCTACTACTTGATTCTTCATGCAAGTTATATACTATCCCGAGCTAAAAGATCTCACCTGGAAGATCTGATAGGCAAGTTCCCGAGTTGGAGAAACCTCAGAGGGCAAGAGACCGCGCAGCGCACCTGCGCGCTGCGTGAAGTTGCGCACGTGCCGTCGCCCGCTTTGGGCCTCCGGACGATCGCGGCACCAAGCCCGTCCAAGTTGCTCCAGCGACTCCTTACGCAACGAAGATAGCAGTGGAGCAGTGGACCACCGGGCACCGAAACAACACCCCACCCCTTTTTGTCGGTTTTTTTCCGAGCTGATAGCATGCTGGACCTATAACAGTGGAGTTGGGCACCCTGGTTTCATCTTCACTCCCAGCTCGGCAAAAATAAGAAAGAACATATGAAAGAACGAAAGTTCATCCGCCTGTAGAGGCGCTCCAGCACGGGAATCAGAAAGGCCAAAGTCTTACCGGAGCCCGTCCGCGCTTCGCCCATGATGTCCCGACCTAGGTCTAGATCTCGAGCTCGCGAAAAAAAGGCGGGTCGCGAGCTGCGCTGCGGGTAACGAGCTGCGCCCAGGAGACTGGCAGAGATACTCAGGTTGGCACCAAAGAGAGCTGGCGGAATCGCTCCACTTTGAATCTCAGTCATCTTGACATACTTCGATGCCTGATCGTGCGACGCGAAACCCCAAACATGAATGGAACAAACGGCGACCCGTAAGAACAGACAAATTGAATCACCAAAAACTGCCATATGCATCTTTCAAGATCTTTCAAGTACTGGGCCAAGTCAACCTCTCCCCTGCATCACTTTGTATTCTCCGCTATTCTCCCCTATCCTGCGTGGTTCACGCATCTCTCGGCCTCATCGCTGGCACGGACATCGTTTCGCCGGACCGGCGGCCTGAAGCCCACGCAGGGTTCGCTTGGAGATCGGCAAGTCTTTGAAGAAGGAGCCCGTGAGAGCTGGCCCACCCTGCCCCGCGCCGAATTGAACGCGGTCGGGTCGCATTCACGGCCACCCGGGGATTCTTGGGATCTCAACTCGAGGACGACAACTCAAGCAGCTGCATGGAAACATATTCCGTCATAGAAGTCCAGAATGATGATCATACCCCTCCAGCTCCTCCCTCGCCTTGGCCTTCGCACCGTCCTCGCTGCTCTTGGCCTTGGCGCGGCTCTTCCCGCACTCGGCGCGGATCCTCTCCTCCAGGCGCTGCAGTTCGGCCTCCTGCATGCCGGTGGCTCCGCGCGAAGCACCAGGGCCGGCACGGCCACGGCCGGTGGGTGGCCGCGGCAGAAAGTCAAGGTCACTGCTCATGGTCCGTTCAAAGGCTCCGGGTGAAAACTCCGCCGAAGGTCCACTGTGATCCTCTGGATTCAGGTTGTATAGGTCATGTCTTCGTGGCGCTAGCAACTCTTGTGTCCTGTCTGTGTAAAAATAGGTTTAAAAATAAACATTACAAAAAAAAAAACTATAATATATACTATATATAATATATGATATATACAACTTTGGGTTCGATATGACTTGAAGTCACCTTGGGATGGCTTGGCTCAGCAAGAGTAAAAATCTGCCAACAAATCCAACCACTGGGATTTGGCTAATTTTATCTTTGAACTGTTGGTTCTTCCAGGGCCCTGCTCACGTTCGACATACCAAAATGGTACCAGCAAGACTTGCTCCTCGGCCGCCCGTCGATCAACACGTGCATGCGTGCCAAGCTTCTTCCGCTGCGCCTCGCTTGAAAGATCGGCTCGTCTGTTCGGAGGCTGCCACAGCAGCTCCGCATTGAAACTGTAAACTGGGATTATGAAACTGGTATTGTGAACTGAAAAACTCAGATTCTGAAATTGGGTTTCTGAAACGATGCGCCTGAAACTGAAGGCTTCTGAAACGGTGCTTGGCATGGCACTTGGTGAGCCCAGTTTCAGAATCACAGTTTACATATTCCAGCTTCAACTCCTTTTATTCAGAACCTGACGGATTCGTTTCACAATGCACTTCATCCTCATACTCCCAATGGAACGATCATTGATCCACCCCCAACCCCGAAACTTCCAACACATGTGTACATGTAGCATCTTTGATGCAAGTCCAATCCCACGCCCCACCTTTGCCCAGTGGTGCACCAGAAAATCCCAGTTGAATCCAAACAGTTGCGGGTTCCCAGTTCCGGAACCCCAGTTGCGGAACCCCAGCTGCGGAATCGGACCCAAACAGTTACGGACTCCCCACCCAGATCGCCAGGTTCTAGTGGAACCGGCGCCGGTCCGACCAATCACGTGGTCCATGTTCAGGTCGTCTTCCCCAAACTGAAAGGAGTTCCCATGCGGATCTCCATGTCGGTCTTCCCATGATCCCTCTGGACCCCTCTGGACTTGAAAAAGTACAGAGAATCGCCCACCTTGGGTCGTTTCGCGTTGCCATGTCCCACGCGTGCCATGCAGGCGCAAATGAAAGGCTTCTTAGCACCCTGCCATTGCAGAGGCCAATTAAAACGGTGATTTCTGTGAGAAGAATGTCTTTCTAAGAATTTCAAAAAAAAGGTTTTGTTGTACACCTTATGACCTCAAAAAGACCTCAAAAAACCTTCCCCGTTTGGAGAACGTCTGAGAAGAAGCCTTCGCCCCAAATCGTAGCACTTCCCTTTCTTCGGTCGGTCGGTCAAGGAGGGGTCGACCCAACGAAAAGGGCGAGACATGGCGAGACTGGATCTTTCGGATCAAACAACGGTTGGTTTGTTCCTCACGGTTGGTTTGGTTCGCCTTTTGGTCTACACATCCCTACACATCCCACCCCAACTCTGGTCTGCGTAGGATGTATGTACAGTACTGTTCTGTAGGATGTTTTGCGGAAAGTACCACACTCATTGAATTTTCTTGACGCTCAAGCTCGCTGCATTCCATCTACAGTACTGCTCTCAGCAAGATGGCTGAGCAAAAGTCAAGTTGCTTCCCACGCTTGTCTTTTCAGCCTTGAGTAACAGCACTCAACTCAATACCATTGGATATTGTCTAAAGTTTAAAGTGTGCCTGACATTCCATTGACTAACAAGTAACAAGTGAACGCCAAGGTATACCAAGCTCAATATCAAAGCACTCCAAGCCAACCTACTTTCTGAGCAAACCTCACAAGTCGAACAACTGTTCCACCTGTAGGTGGCGACCAATGGATGGCTTGGCTGTCACATCAGAATGAATCTTTCAATTGCCCCATTGGACTGGGCCACATGTTTTGTGCCCGCACGCAGGACTTTCTCGACGGCCAAAAAGCAATTCGGGCTACCAATCATCCGCAGAAGGTGCAAAGCTGGATCGAGCTCCTTTATCATCTTTCACCAGCTGCCAATCAAGAGAAATGAGTTCTTGAAATGGGGACACCTCCCAGCTGTGATTGGCTCATCTCTTTTCACTTGCGGCAATTGCGGTTCTCGACACCTTCTGCAGCCTTTTGGCTTATGATCGCCTTGGAATTGCTGGATTAAATTATTAACAGAGGGCATGGACGCACAGGCACGAACACGGTTGTGCTCATGCTGCAAGCATTTCAAGCTTCCACCAAGTTTCATCTATAGCTGACCCCCTAAGCCTCTAGCATAACATTTTGAAATTACTTCAAAGTACTGAAATTGCATTCAAGACATGAAACGGATGCAGCATGGGTGCCAACGGCGAACTCATTTGCCCAAGCTACATTATTCATTCTCTGTCTCTCCAATGCTGGGTCTCTGAGCCAACACAACACCGGACTCGAATGTTTGGTGCAGGCAGTTTCACCGTGGACTGACACTTTGCGAACATGTCACACCCGCGGTGTGACGCGTTCCCCCGGCTGACAACTCAGCCTCGTTTGCAATGAAACCCAAGCAAGGGCTCGGCTCAGAACATTTCGTTAACTCCTGCAGCCACGTGTCTGACTCAGGAGTCGGATCCTCATCTTCCCAGGCGGAAAAAAACACGTGATGGATTGCTACATGGAGCGGGTTTTGTGGGGAGCAATTTGATCCTGTGCCCCATCTGTCAAACCGTTATCCATCCCGCCACTGAAAAACAGCCCACGGCCGCAGCTGTGTGGCGCGCAGCTCACACTGGCGCGCAGCGCTTCACGCAGCGAAGCTGCGCGCACGCGCCCGCGCGCGCGCCTGGAAGATCCCACGCGGATGCTTTGCCTTTGAAGTGGCGCGCCGCGACGCTAACCCGGCACGACTGAGGCGTCGTCTTTGGTTTCGTAACAAAGCTGCGCCGCAAGCTGCGCTGCGGCGCCAGCACTCAGGCGCTGCGATCATCTGAGTCTCCAACATGGCGCAGCACTCATACTCTGCCTGTGTGCACAATGCACAATACACTGATGCTGTGGCTCTGCGGAAATCCACTCAAAGCTATGCAGATGTCTCCCACCAGTGACGCAGGCCTCCTACCTGTATGACCTGAGTCAAGGTCATCAAATCCAACATATCCAACCGTCAGCGTGAGCGCCGGTCTGCCACGTCACGTCTCACTGCCACGGTGGTGAAAGATTCACTAAGCCTTTTGCACGCTTCGTGTGATCTCCTTCTTCAACGGCACTTGGTCAGCTTTGGCCTGGAGCTTTCAGTGCGGTGGGTGGGCGCGATGTTTTTCGGGCTTTTGGAAGGAGCGGAGGAGTGGGAACCAGTGAGCAAGGTTCATGTTTGCTCTAGAATCAGTCCTGCTTCTCAATGCTTGAAATTTTTAGGTGCATAAACGACATCCGCTATGAATTAACATAGGCCTGGCTGGTTGAAAATGTTTGATCTTGGTGGGAGTTCCAATCAAGTGCGTCTCGGTCTCGGAACACTGTATGATTCTATCTCGTTGATTGCTTGGATATATTGGGGGTGCATGAATGGATCCATGGACGAGCGTGGGTGACTATTTTAGAGCGGAGGTCTTTTCATGAGTTGGTGGATTCTTCAATACCCTTGGCCTTCAGCGGACGCGGTTCCAGCAACATCTCTCAAATGAGCCCTTCATGGGCATTTCTCCAAAGACCCTTATGTTTGTTGGGATGGGAGTTTGTTTCAGTGTAAATCCAATGCTTGGGGGGCGCACTCTCACTCATGATGGAACTCGTTGTAGGACATACACATCAATTTCTGCAACAACTGTGTGGACGGTCGTGCGTCCCAGCGCGCCTGCTCATGCACTTGAGCAAGGGTCTGCGGAGTTTCTTTGGTTAAATCTTTCCGCCTGGCAGCACAGAGGCAATGGCAGTCTGACTCTAGAACTTGTCATTCTGCTTCATGGCCGTCAGGACAAAAGCAAAAGCAAAACCTCAAGAATGCATCTTCCGAGGGTACAGCAATAGCTCAACCACGACACCTGAGGATTTGATTCAGTCTGAGCAATGATCGCGACCCCAGCAGCGCCTTTGGGATTTCCATCCCTCCTTTCGAAGATCCAGAACATCCTGACTTGCAATCGGATTTGCGTTCAGATGCTGATCCCATAATGTATCACCTTGTCATGCATCCAAACAATACCAAACATGGGTCTAGCAGTCCCTTGCACCCTTTGTGTGAAAGTCAGCAAGAAGGGATGAGATGGGACTCATGTTCCCAGGCTTGTGGGAGCCCAGCGCCCAGGGCAGAGTTCATCTGCAACCCAGCCAAACTTCTCCCACAACCGAGAAATCCATTGCGGTCCTGAAGCAAGCAGCGAACTCGGCGGGGAACGCTCTTGTCAGCAGAGGCGCGCTCAACCTCGTAAGGGTGTTCGCCCGAGCTGAGCAAGCTGACACTCGGCTGTGAAGATCAAGCGGACGCTGCAGAAGCAAAAAATGTGATTAGGAGACCCGCAGCCAGACGTAGTAAAATGTAAAAAGGACAGTGGATATCCATGGCACATGTTGAATCATTCTGAGGGTCTTCATTTGAGGCATTTTGAAGGGGTTATCTCAGATCAACAAACCCTATTCTTTTTGAAAAACCTCCCACTCGTGCGCACCCCACCGCGCACCTTCCCCCCAAAACATTGCGAGGAAAAGACATGGAGTGCCTCCGTGAAAACCAATTCAAGCTCACTGTGATGCTTCCAGCCTGGCAGTGAGCTGTTTCGTACTGTTTCATCCCCATGCTTATGTGAGCTCGTGAAAGTGCATGGGGCCCATTCTCACCGTGAACACTTCCAAGCACAGTCCAAAACGCGGCGGCAGCACTGGGGTCATCCAAGGCCACTCCAACGGTTTCCTGAGTCAATTCTTCAAACGGAACACTTTCTCAACAATGGTGATTGCATGTCAATGGACTAGAATCTAGTGATTAGTTTCAGATTCAACTTTGTTGCCCTACACCTAGTCAACTTCATTCTCTGAAGACCTTCAACCGGAGTCTTCACCCCCCCCGAATCGCCGCAGCCGGTTCCGGGGGCCACGACCAGAAAGGTGGCCAGCGTTTCCAGCCGCTCGCCACGCACCGCGGGATCCTCACCTGCCGCTCTCGCGAGATGTGAGATGTGAGAGGTTTTTTATGGAGGGGAAGCCAAAAGGACCCAAACCAAACAGTGGTGGTCACATACCCTACAAAGGCCCCACATCGCATCTCATGGTCTTGCATTTCAAGCCCCTCCTAAATCCAGCGGTTCCCGTTCCACACAAGCCGGTGTTCCGGGCACCAAACCCGCCAGCTCCGTGGCAACCGCAATGGCAATTTTGGGAGCAAGCCTCGGTCCGCAACGATTGGGAGCAAGCCATGTTCCCAAATGGTACCCTCCTGCAGATTGGACTCTCATGTTCATCTGCAGCGGGGGGTATCCATGAACAGCTGTGAACCTCTGTGAACATTTGTGAAACGGAACAAGTCTCTTTCTTCAACTAAGAAATTACTCAGATTCTCTGTCAGCTCTTGCGCCAGTGGACCCGAGAAAATCCGTGTCTGGCAATATGTCCCAGAGCAGAAACTTCCTCTGAACACCTCTGAAACCTCAGCCGTCCCCGCCCAGAGAAAGCTCTTCCGAGTCTGTGACATGCCATGTCTGATCAGCTGGCCGACCAGCCGAATATTCCCCAGCATCTTCGTCTTATATTTCACCTCGCGCGGACCGGACTGCGGTCCAACCTCCTCACCAGGTCGAACCACGCTTTCCTTCTCTCAGAAGGGCTCGAATCAAGTCACGAAGAGGACGAACAGAATCCTCTTACTGCAGCTTCTTCAAAGTGACCTTTTGTGACCCTTAGGAGGCTTAAGTGACCTCAAACCAGGTTATCAAAAGGTCACTTTGAAGAACCAGGCAGTTATACTCAGTTATACATACTACTCTTGTTACATACTAACCCCATTGGGTCTGGAATCTCTTCATCCAACAAGGCCACCGCAACACTCGGCAACTCCGCCTGAGCCTCATAGAGGTCGTCTCCCACCAAACCCTCGAAGCCTTCGGGAGGCTCCAAGTACCTCGTAGGAGGCTTCGAAGACCCACGACAGGTTGACAACATGAGGCTTCTCTCTTCGAATAGAGTCGAATTCCCCACCCAGAGTCGAATCGAATCGATCGAGTCGAATGGTGCCCATTCGATTGTTTGATGTCGCTGGAAGATGTCAAGAGCATCTGCTCGCTGTTTTGGGTGGCACTTCCATTCACCGAACTCGGAATGGAAGCTTGCGGCTTTTGTCGCGGGATCACGTACCACACAAAAGGAGGGCGAACCAACTCCCTCCGGCAGGGCGATGCACAGGGCACTGCTCAAAGGAGGTCTGGCACTGATTGAGAAGAACCCGCTTAAAGTTGCTCTGCGACCTCAGCACCACAGAACAAATCTCTTGCACTTCTTCGTTTTCTTCGGTCAACCCTTGTGCAAAGTTACAACATGTTACAAGACGTCGCCCCCCCCAAACCCAACAAGTATATAAGGGGTGAAGGGGAGAACTCCACCCTTTAGGACCGGTCACTCCTTCTACACCGGTAGAGACCTGGTCGCAAAGTTCCAGAAGAAAACCTGGTTGGAGTTGGAGTCCTTCTTCTTCTGCGAGTCGTAACGAGGATTCTTGTAAAAGAGTGGCTCCAAGAGAAAACACGTCGTCTCCAACGCAACAGTCTCTAGTACCGTATCGTCGTAGACCATGAGTTTGGGCAATCCTGCGGCAAACCTGGACCGTGCTTCACGCCGGAGTTTGGGGCTCATCTCTCGAGACCGGTTGAAAACCATGCCCAAAAAACAACCACGCGTAGCTAGAAGCTAGTAGGTTGGAGGCCGTCGCAAGTAGGTTGAAGGCCATTACTACTAGTAGCAAGAAGCTACTAGGTGGAGGCCATCACAAGTAGGTTGGAGGCCTAGTAACAAAAAGCTACTAGGTGGAGGCCATCGCAAGTAGGTTGGAGGCCATTACTACTATTTAGTAACAAGAAGCTACTAGGTGGAGGCCATTGCAAGCAGGTTGGAGGCCATTACTACCTTGAGTCTCCAAAGACCTTTTTTTTCTGCGTTTTTGTTTTGCCCTGAACCCTCCGTCGTAGCAGAAAAAAGTGACAGAAAAAAAAACTGCACATCATCAAAAAAAGTGTTCATGCCTTGAAAAAGCGTACGACTGGAAAGTCAGATGTAGCTTCATTCCACCTTATGTGGTCTTCAAGTCCATTCCCCTGCCACATGCTGGCACCCATCCCATGCACACACAACACACGCTCACACACTACGAAGCGGCAGCCAGCAACCCCTTTCTTTGATCATCAGTATCAACATAAAATATTTACAGTAAGTAAAATAACAATCCGCCACTTTTTAAAATTGCGCCCGGGTTGCGGGAATTTGCGCCCGGGTTGCGGGAATTTGCGCCCAAGTTGCGGGCACCCTTTTTGGAAAAATTGTTGTAAAGCACGCCCAGAAGGTTGGAACCAAACCTTTGTGGTTTCATTTGCACATACTACTAGTAGGAGGTCATATAGGATTTGCACCCGGTCCATAGGGCCCCCAAAGGCCCACAAGGGTTGATAAGGACACTGGTCAGGAACCAGTAGGCTTTAGAATTTACATCACCAAAAATCGCTCATATGTCCTGAAAAGTGTACATACCCTCAATTAACGCTCAAACTTCCAATAAGTGCTCCAAACCATGGTTCGCCAGAAATAAGTGCTACAAAGGATGCTTCAGGTGGGTCTAATATTTTTGCGTTTTTGCTTGAAAAACGCGTTTTTAGAGATGAGGACTCAACAAAAAGGTGCAGAGTGAATCTTCATCCGGACGCGTCCGGCACGGACGCTTAAAGACACCTTTTGGACGCAAAAAAATGCGTTTTGGACGCCGAAAAAAGGTCTCAGGACACTGTCTAAGGAGGATCTGACAGGGTACAAACAAAAAAGGAACATGTCGTGACATATGCAAAAAAGAGTGCTTTCAAAAACATTTTTTTCTTGGAAAGGCAAATTTAAAAGGGTCATTGGAGACTCAAGGTACTAGTAACTAGAAGCTACTAGTAACAAAGGGCAACAAATTGGTCCAAAACCGTGGCTCAAAAAGAACGAGACCAAACCAAAGGCTGTTGGTCTTCGTTTTCGGTCGAGAAGAAACGATGTGAACGAACCGCCAGGCAACCGAAAAAGAGAAAACAGCCCAAAAGACACCAAACAAAGACACCAAACAATGCGACGTTCTCCATACGTTCTAATGATGATGACTTATGGTTCCCGGCTCAGCCACGTCAACGTTGTCCGTCAGCCATTTGTGAAGCTTCACACACAGGCTGACATACCTGGTCCAGGCGGAGAGACACCAGATGTCGCTGGAATTGGCTCCAGACTCAGGAGGCCACATATTGATGAAGTGATGCTGAGTGGTGGCCTGGCGAAAAAGAAGGATAAAGAAGGAACATCTGAAGATCTGACTGCTCATCCGCTGCATCAAAGATCTGCGGCCTTTTCAAAGACCAGTTGCATGAGAAGAGGAATTCCACGGTTGGGTCGCTGCGATTGCGCGATCAATTCCACGATCTGGTCTGACCTTCCGAATTCGGGGCACTCAAACTCGTTCTTCGATCTGAACAGCAAGTTGGTTGGTCGACAACTTTTAGGGACTTGGCAAGGTGTCAAACTTCTCAACCTCAGAAAAGGCACTTCTCGAGGATCCGAATGCATGATTCGGATGGACTCGGCAACACACAATAAAACCGCCAGGCCAAGCAGCTGTGAGCTTGTTTAGGATGGACCGGATGCTCTTGACAAAAGAATCGTCGGAGCTCTCTTTCTCGAGCTCTGCCTGGCAAAACTCCAAGATTGGTCACTCAATGTTACTCGTTTAACGTCCATCCGCCAGCCCCACCGGCCACCCCACCTTCCTTTTGGCGATCTGCGCTGCCCAGGAAGTTTCGCTGACCTTTCGGAGATCACAATGGGCCTTCGCCCATCGATTCGCCAGCACAAAAGCCGACTGATTCACCGACACCCCACCTCCAGCTTCGGAGCAAGACGGATCAGATCCGACCCAGAGTCAGGCTTCTCAGACTTCGGAGTCTTACCTTCCTGGCCCCCAACAAGGCAAACCCTGGCCCTAGATGAAAAGAGTGCCAACAAAAATCGCTCTTTGAAACGCAGCGAGAAAGGACACCAGTGATTCAGCGGTGGGTAGAAAAGGAAATTGACCAACAAGATCCAACAAGGGATTTTGAGAACACCTGTACTCAGTCATCTTCCCAGCTCAGAAGTCTCTTCCAAATTCTCCACACCTGTCCGCGCCGGCGGCTCTTCGTCACTTCCCCTGCCCGCTTTGAAGAGAAGTCGAGTGGTCGGCCATGAAGTGTCCCACCACATATCCCACGACCCAAAAAAACTGGCACATGGATCCACCATATGTGCTGAACTGGCGCATGGATCCACCCCCTGATCCGGTGCAAAACAGTCCTAAAAGGGCAAGCTCTAGAACTTGAGCACGCAAAGAATGGACCTATTGAATTCGAGACGAATCCTTTGTCCCATCGAAGTCCTCCCAAATCGATGTGTTCTCTGGAGGATCGAAATCCCCTGATCTGGGCGGGTATGAAATAGGAAGACCTCCCAGGCGTTCCGACTCCTTGGAAGATAAAATCCATGAAATCCAGGGGATCCCCCTCTTCTAAAGAGGCACCCAAATCAGTCCAAACCGAGCCAAGGGCGCATCGCATTGAACGCGTTCCAATCCAGCTCCCGAACACTGCCCCACCACTGATACGGCCCGAACAAAGCCCAAGCAAAAAATGTAAAAAGGGGGTGTTCAACCCCATGACACCGCAGAATGCAAGTTATATTATGTATCATGTGTTATGATGATATAGTATGTTATGTCCCTCACAAGTCTTGGCTCCATTTTCCCTCAGTGGCGACGCGTGCTTTTGACCCTTTGGCAAGAACAGCTGAACTGGGACCAAGAGTTCAATCTGCCAAAAGCAGTCTAGTTTTATTGTAAGCCAACAGAAGTCTACAGCTTCTAGAAAATTGTTGGCCTATAGCAGCGTTTCTAGGAACAAAACTTCGGCTGAGACGCTACATGTGCTGTCTCACTCCTCTCCATTTTTGTTTTCTCTCTCTCTCTCTCTCTCTCCCAACGACACCGGAGAACCCTTCGCCCGCCTGGAGCGCCTCCACGGGCACGCCAGTCCTTGCCATTCTTCTCCTGGCGCGAGCTGCGGGCGGCCGCGCCGCGCGGTCGTAAAGAAAGGCCCCAAAAACAAACGCTGGAAAAAAAGGGGCAGAAATGGAAGGGGGTTGATCCCTCTGGAAAGGATGACTGGTCGTCAGCTGACTGCGCTCAGGTGAGCTCAGGATCCGGAAACGGGAAGCGGATCCAAAGATAGCTGGAGAGTATTGGCCCGAGCACCCACAAAGCAAACCAACAATCAAACTAGTACCAAACCATACCAAACCTATGTAGTAGACGTAGTAATCACTTTGCTCTGCCCCAAACGGAGACGCTGTTCATCGTCGCTCCATCCAGCCCGCACGCCGCTCCTCTCTCGGCTCGGCGTCGGCCTCCGCCCTGCGGCGGAGCCAGTCCTGGGGTAGCCGAGAGAGGGGCGACGGGCGGTTGCGGCGTTCGGACGGGCGACGCGTAGCGGCGTGGCAAGAAAAGGAAACTAGTAGGCTACCCACCCGAACTTGTGGCGGTGAACGTTCGGTAAGAACGTGAGAACGGTGTCACTGAAGGATCGGAACAAAAATCGTGCGTCGGAAGCTCAGCCAGTCACTGGGGTAGTCTCAAGATGAGCCTCTGCAGCTGAATTGGCGAAGGGCAAAACGCACCCAATACTGACTGCTGAGTGCTCAGTAAGGAATGAGGAATGGATCCTATGGTATCTGTAGTGAGGGGTCATTCTCTACTACTAAGCACCAGTCAGAAGACGGTGATTTCCATGTACCCTTGGTGCATTTGGGTGCCATCTACTCTGATCTTTTCCGAGTCAACCTACTTGCCAACCAATGTCCAGCAGTAAACTCTGTTCATGCTCTGTAGACAAAAACACAGGGACTTTGGCTCTCGGTTTTTCATCTTGAGACTGGACTCCGATGCGAAATGGACTGAAATCAACACGGAGCTGGTCAGTCGCCCCAAGTGCAACCCGGTAGATCCGGGTTAAGCTTTGCTTGATATATCTTGATATCAAAGAAGGAATGCTTGGGGTTGCTCCCACCTGTGTGCTCCAGCGCAGCTGGCTGCAGCTTGAGTCCGACGCGGCCACTGCACGCCTCGTCGCAACGGAAACGGGACCGGCCGTGCAGGCGAAGTCGCTCGTGTGACTCTCCATGGGTCTGCTTTTGAAAGCAAAGTGCTTACAATGGATCTCTCGATATATTAGGAACAAGTTGATCGCGTCTTCCGGAACAAGTGCTCTCAAATTGCTGCAACCACCATCCAACTGGGTACCTGGATGTACCTGGTAGGGTTTCGGCAAAGCAACCTTTGTGGCCATGGTTTCCACAAACGACGGCACAAACCTGACAGCCAGCATCAAATCGAGATCGTATTTGCACTGAGGGCTATCAGGATCTCGTACCTGCAAGTCACCAGAAGGACTGGACGCTTAAGGCGAAAGGCGAGGGACAAATGAAATCACGGGAAGCAAAGGGAAAGAACTGGAAAGAAATGAAAAGAAGGAAAAAATGGCAATCTTTCAGAATGTGCTTGTTCGAGAAATGCTTCTTCAAGGCACAGCTTGGTCCGAATGTCACACAAACATACACAGACTCAGGGTTTTCGTGCACCCCAACAACATGGGTCACATCAGCTTGCGGATTCGGCAGCACCTGCAAGGTCGACAACCCAATTTCGGGCACAGGTTCTGTCGACACGTCGCTGGTTGGGTTGTGGTCTCCGTCGTGCGTCTTCTTCGGTCCACGACATTCGGGTCGTTTTTAGAAAAAAAAAAAAAGCAAATCTCTCAGAGAGTCCGAGAGGTGTCTGATGTGTCGAGACTCTCGTTTTCTCTGCTCAAGCGGAGTACAGTGAATTCAATCGTCAAGAATTTGTTACCCCATCATGGTCTACTCAGTATACTCTCACTGAGTCTCCCTCTTGGTCTTCCGTGTCATGGAAGACCAGTCCTCGGTCGCCTGCCAAGTCCCTGAGCGAGCCTCTGTGGCATTTCTTTGAATGCCTTGCAACGCGCGTTGCGTTGTACCAGCGACTTGGCTCTGCTCCCGCGTGCTGTGCACGTGCATCGTCCAAAGAACCACAGAAAACTTGATGAAAACTCTGCCCTGCGCCTGTCAGAGTGGCCGATTCCAATTTCAGGTCGAGCTCCGGCTCGTCCTGGATCCGGTCACTCCAAATCGGTTCTTGGGATCGTGGGCATGGCGCGAGAGGGGCCATGAGACCTGATCCTGTCCCGAAGCAAGTGCCAAGTTCTGCTCTGTTCTCCTTGCTCTTCCTCTCCCCCTCTTCGTCTTCGTCTTCGTCTTCTTCTTCTTCGTCTTCGTCTTCGTCTTCGTCTTCGTCTTCTTCTTCTTCTTCTTCTTTCTTCTTCTGCTTCTTATTGTTCTTCTTCTTCGTCTTCTTCGTCTTCTTCTTCTTCGTCTTCTTCGTCTTCTTCGTCTTCGTCTTCTTCGTCTACGTCTTCGTGTTGTTCTTCTCTTTCTCTCCTCTCTTTTCCTCTGAGTCTCCTCCGAAAAGGAGTTAAACTCATCGCTGTCGTCCGAGTCTTCTTCGTCGGACTCCTGCAGTGCCAGTGCCAGTGCTGGATCAGATTAGTGCCTTGCTTACCCTAGCCACCGAGAAAGTCCCCAAGTAGAAAAGTATTGGGAACGTTACAAGGCCTGTTTAGAGGGCTTTGCCGTGCCTTTGGTGTCTACTCAAGGGTTCCTCGAAGTATTAATTCAGCTTCCTTGCACTTGCATGAAATTGTCGTATCATCTTGCACCCTCTTGCATGAGGTCGTTTTTGTCAACCGGTACCCAAACGGCAAGCCTCCGCAGCATCTATGCCTAGCGAGCACAAGCAGTTTTTACATAACTACTGGCTGGGCAAAACCCGCCAGACATCATATTTTGCCATCCAAAATCGTTGTGCTCGCCTTGAGAAGGCCCCGTGGCGACTGGAGCGGTTTCAACGGAAGCGGCTTGAGCACCTGTCCGTTCCATGAAACAACGCGGAATAGACAACGTGCCCCAACACGAACACAAACATAGACACCCTGAAAGCACCATCATCATCAAATTGGCGCACCGTGTTCAATCGTCGGCAAATTTGTGTGAGTGTCTTGAAGCATCATGAAGAATCTAATGAATGACTCCGCCTCTTCCCTGTAAAGTCCCTCAAACGGAACGGAACCAGCTTTCTCACCCACGCAGCCACTCGTTTGCCCCTCTTCTTCTCGTTCTTCTTCTCGTTCGTCCTCCGATACGTACCGTTCTCCGATGCCTGGGTCTGTGCTGGGATCGATTCGTTCCACATCTTCTTCGACTTCAGGCTCCGAACTGCTCGATGAACTGAGAGCGCCGGTTGCGACGGCCGGTGGCGACGATTTTCGCGTCACAAGTGCTGTTTCTTCGTGTGCTCGTGAGCTGGCGCACATGGAGGTAGGGAGGAAGCAAGACTGAACGGGCACTCTGCTAGCTGTCGGAGATGCGATGCCGAAAAAATACTTGGACATACTTGGACTACCAAAAAAGTGAGCGTCTTCTCCCCAGGCAAGCAATTCTGTTAAAACCAGGTTTCTTTACCTAGGGCCACTGCTCTGTGGAGTAGGCATCATCGTTGAAGAGGCAACTTTGAGCCCCAACGCCTCGGCGGAACCGCGACCCCGGTAGCCGGCGACGCTCCGACGCTCCGACGGGACACGGGTCCGGTGAGTCCGGCCTTGCCCTTGCCAGGCGAAACTGGGATCATAGCCGTTGTAACCTCAGAAGCTGCGGAACATGACACATCCGAGAATATGTTTAAAAAGTTGACACATCCTCGGAAGGTGAAAGGTGACGACGTCACGCAGGTCGTCTTCTTTTTATCTTTGTCTTCGAAGGTCGTCTTCCTCTCAGGTCTAGACCCCAGCCTTGAGGGGCTCCTGCTCGACGGCTCGACGGCTCGAAAGCGGAAGCGGAAGCGCTCCGCTGGTCCAGTGCATCGAAGAGCGCGTGTTCTTCGAGCGCTCTCGGTTCGTGGGGCCGAAAGAAGAACACCGAGCTCTTGGAAAATCCTCTTTCTTAACGATGAACAAGAACTATCTGTCAATGTTTGTCATCCATCTTTTCATCATGTTGGTTCCAGATCTCGAAATCTCTTTCTTCCTGGTTCATGTGCATTTCTTTCAACTGTCACACGACCAACAACACCTTTGCCAATCCTCCCCATGCCCCATTGGCCATCTCACCATTCCAGCGGGAAGCCTCAGAGTATTTTTTCTGCCGACAGACTCGGCGGGAACTGTGTCTTTTCCCAAACAACGGTGCGTTTGTGGATCTTCTTTCACCTTCCAAGTTCTCGACATTCCATCCCCATTGATGATCAGCACCTGGCAAATGCGCAATCCCAAATGTTCCATTCCAACTCGCATTTCAATTCTCATGCCATGGCAGCATGACACGTGGAGAGGCATAAAGCATCATAGAGCTCAGAATCTGTCACTGGCGCTTCTTCTTAAGGCAGTCTAGACTAGAGTAAATCTAGAGCAAGTGATTCAAACATATATATATATATATGCTGGTGCTTGAATCCACGGATTGTAGAAGGGACTTGGACTCCCACATTCCAAAGTTGCAACATGAAAGAAAATCACTCTCCCCCACAAGACTGAATTCCAATCTCCTGCACAACACACAGGCAACACATGAGGAGTTTCACTGCATCATCCACTTCAATCCACCCTTTGATGTCAGCAAGTCTGAGTCCTGCGACGCCGCCTCAATCCCCTCAGAGGTCCCCTCAACTACGCTCTCTCTCTCCTCCCAATCGCTGAAAGCGTCTCAAAAAGATCCGTTCTCCCCCCGTCCGCCGCCTGGAGCGGCCGGCCGCGGCACGAAGTCCGTGGCCTTGGGGGACAGCAGGGCACGTCCTCCTGGCCTGGGAGGCGGAGGACGGAGCAGGGAGGCTGAGAGTCCGGAACTCTATAGGATTATGTAGGCATATGCGGCATCCACCCCATCAGAAATTGGTGAACAGGCGATTTGTTGGTGCAATGAGCAAAACGGATCAGTTTTTCCAGGCAAAGGGCCAACTTCTTGTCTTGGTCACAACGTGCTTCCAGGTGTTTCCTGTTTTGTTTTATGTATATAGCCATTCCCCATATCAAGACTTGAGAACTGTCCAACGACTTTTTAGTTGCTAAATCAACCAACGTCAACGACCTACGAGTTTCATCATCCATCACAGACGAGGTCGTTTTCCCACGCCACCGTCCGTCCGCGCGGTAAGGCTTCGCGGTTGGTCGCTGTAAGGCTCTCGGCACGAACTCCGTGGCTTTCGCTGACAGGCCACTGGTCCCGTTTTGCATCTCCTGCACGCGCATGTTACTGGCACGCTGTTAGGGAAATGTTAAGAACCGACGACCAGAAACATGGAGCTATTACAGAACCAGACCAGAAACCAGACTTGAAACTTTGTTCCAATATGGGAATGGAGCTCCAAAAAAAACATGACCAGTGGCTGGGACTGGGGAGTTCCATCCAGATGGGACTGGGTGTCCTGCATCCGTAGGTGTTGAACACCCAAAAGGGGAAAAAAAAAGAAAGTAATAAACATAAACTTTGAATCATGCACACTGAGGCAGGCGGGAAGGGGAAAGCGTGTAGTTTGCAGGATGTTTCTGAGCGAACTGTGAACGGATGCACGTGATGCACCCAACAAACACCATGCTGGTATATAATATGTATATATATATATATATGTATATATATATATGTAATTTATAATTGTTTATTGACTGTTACAGGTACAGTAATAGGACAGACCCAAAGTAGACTCATCGACCAAAAGGCGCAAAGGTCTGCCAGTGCGTCCAACATCTTTCGTGCTGCGTTCCCAAAATTAGGCTGAGTTCCCAACGCTTATCCAGCGCTTTTCGTCCGCCCGCACGATCCTGTGAAGATGCGTTCTTTCAAAACACGAACAGAACAAATAGATCCATCTCAAAGATTGTGTGCAGGAAGAAACCTTGCCTCTCATGTAGATTGCCTTCGGCAACCATGTACGAAAAATCTCGGAGTGCCGGCCATGTCAGTTTCCTTTAAGTGACTTGAGCCAGCCACAGGCAAGGAAAGCTTCAACAAACTAAGTAGCTTCATGTAGCTTCACAGGCTTCAGAACCCCTTCGTCAGTATCACATATATAACTCACGGAATTTCTTGTAAAGAACTGTAAATGATGGTGAAAAGGCTTGCTTCCAAAACGCCAGGAGGACGGATTGGAACGGTGTTCCGCCCAAGATACGCAAAGAAAAACCCAGCCGTAAATGTGAAGCACCTCTTCTGACGCCTCTTGTCATGCGCCAGGAAAGGTTTCAAGTAACCAAGAGCGTTAGCTATGCAGGACCCGTGCCTGGAAGAGTTTCTTCAGAACTGTCTCGTTTTGGTCGTTTTGAAAGCTTCCAGGCAGGGCAGGAAACAATCATCGTATATACAACGCGATGCGCGTCACCCCGCGGCAGCTGCCAAAGCTTTGATTTTGCACAAGAGTCTCTTCACATGAGACAACCAAGGCTTTGACAGCAGCAAACATTACGAGCCCCGCAGCAACTCAGCATTGAACTTGTGGAGCATGGTCTGGGCAACAAGGAACTTGCATTGAACTTCTCCCCAGAACTCGGCCGTGGAAAGTTGAAGAAGCCCGGAAAAAGAAAAAAACAGAAAAAAACAAACTGGCATTGACGTCCCAAAAACACCGATCCGGGTCCTGCCAATGAGATGACGTCAAGCAACCTTTGTGCTTGGACTGCACCTGATCGCCGAGGTTGCAGGTGCGCCGGAGAAGCGGAGGTCAGCGGAGAAGCGAGCTTCTCGGCGCCTCCGACAAGGCCCGGTCCAAAGAGAGACCCTCATTTTCCATCAGGTACCTGCCGAAGTCGAGACTTGACAAAGGCTCAGGCGGTAAAAAGATATGCGAGCTTGAGCTTTCGCTTTCGTTGTGTCGAAAATGGTGCGTCCATGGTTCTTCCAGGCTTTCTTCTAGGCTTTTGGAGAACATCGCCACGACAGTGATTCTCCAGGTCTGGACTGCAGCCTTACGGGTCTTTGCCACATCGCCTTCTGTCTCGTCTCACATCTCCACAGTTCGCCTACCTGGCCTACCGACCCCAAGGCCATCACAAAAAGGACAATTGGAGTTTCGTGCGAGACCGGTACCGTGCAGTCTTTGTCCTAGTCAACCCCCATGAAAAAACATGAAACATGTCTCATCCAACTCCGAAAGAACGTGATGCTACTGGGCCCAGTATGTTCACCCCTGGGAGTCCCAATCCATGATCCAAACACCATGGTCTTTGTCCCAAAATGATCCAAATGAGTTCGGGACCTTTACTTCACCTTCCGCACCAACTCAAACCACTTCACCTCCCACCATCCTCGCTCCCCATCGCTCCCAAGGCTCGGCACGCGCAAACCAAGGCGGGACTCCGCGAGACGCCCTGCGGCGTAAAAGCGAGCGAAAGTGAATGGAGGAACGGAGCCGAACGGGTGAGGTGAGCCTGGGCCGTGCTTGAAAAATGGGTGGCCCAGAAGTTATTTATATTGCATGTATATATATATATATATGTGTGTTTGGTAGCTTGACCACGTCCGGTAGTCTATTCTGTTCTTCCTGACGCGGCGAGAAAAGTCTCGTCTGGCATACTAGGCATTCTGCCAAGTATCCATCACACATATGCTTTCATATGTGAACCCCGAATTAACCCTCAGCGCTGTCCAAGGAGAAAGCCCATGCTTGAAGTCGGGCGGTCGAAACTCCAGCTAATATTCGTGCAAAACGAATCTTGTATTCACGAGTGAGATAAATCTCGGCTCCATCAATGGTCCCATTAGGCAGAGATTTGCCGATGCTTTTGTTCCGGTGTCTATAATGGCAACCCGGCACAAATGAAGTACCTGAGTCAACACGGATGCGTGCCACAAATTGGCGGACCTCAGCTGTCAGATCCCTAAAAGTATGGATCGAAGAATCCTGCGATGGAAGTTGGAATCCTTGCAGGTGGAACAACACAGCCAATTCCACGTAGGAGGTGACTGCATCCTCAGAAATCCGCCATCGTTGGCCTGAGAAAAAGGCCCCCAAAACTTTCCAATCACTGGTTTTTGAAGCCCATTGTGGTGGAACATCATCAGGATTGAACACAAACGTGGGTGTCCATGGAAAATGATGAACTTGTGGTTCCCACTCCCAATGAGGGAAGAGGGTAAAAACATCTTCAGAAGCCTCCTCTTCAGCAAAGCGGGCTTCCTGTTCGCTATCTTGATCAAGTCTCTGAAGCGCTGCAATCTCAAGGTTCAGCGTTGTTAGCCAATCCTGTCTTCGAACGATGCTCTGTTTTAACATCTGTTCATCTGAAGGGTGTACACTCGTGGCCTGCAAGGCATGCTCCTTAGCAAACTTGTCAGCGAACCGATTTCCAATGATATGACGAATTTCCGTCTTCTTTGCTTCAACCATGGCCTGGGTGATGAAACACTCAGGAAGGTGTTCATATAAATGAGAAGGGACCCATGACACCGCAAAGGGTTCAGGGTGAAGACACGACAAAAATTGGAATCTGTTGCTGATTGCAAGCCACCATGAGAAATGGGACCATGAGGCATGTGGTGCACCATCTGACTGCAAGACCGAAAATTGGTCAACAATTGTCTGGCAATCAGTGAACACTTCGGTTGGAGTAGCGCATTTATGAATTGCAACAACAATAGCCCAAAGCTCAGTAGTGTACGAAGAAAGATGAAGATGATAAACAGGGCCACCAAAAAGTTCTTGGCAGCTTTCGTTGACAATAGAAAAGCCTCCAGCCGAAAGCCAGAAAACATCTGGCCAAAAAACTGAGCCATCAGACCACCAGCTGACCCGGGGAGCTGAGGGATTGAAAGTCTCAGCAAGAATGTCTTCGGGGTTGTTCCATTGCAGTCTGTGTTTCACAATACCAACAGGGTGTTCAACAATGCCCAGAAGCCCAAAATTTGCACCTAACTCGTGAACAGGTTCAGGGGGATGTAGGGATGGTATGCTTCACACTCCAGAACGACGTGGGCTAACGATTCTTTCACACTCCCACAAAACCGGCACTTGTCTGAATCGTCCAAATTTGCTGCACACAGACGGTCACGTGTCAAAGTGCAGCCCACTAATTGGGCAACAAAATGGCTCTCAACTACGGCTTTGGACTCATGCTGGATGGTGGACTTGTCACGAAGCCCACACGTGAGGTCAAAATCAAGGATGCCGGAAGGCATGCGGAAGTCCTTGCGGTGCTGATTTGCTGCCTCAAGGTAACAACGGTGTCTCGATAGCCGATGCAGCAACAACTTGATATCCTTCGGGTGGAGATCCCAAGCAGGCATGAGAGGTTTACCCCCAAAGGAAAGAACAAGGTCATGTGACAAAGACAGGCCAAAGAAGCGGAAGGCATCCTTAATCTTGGTCAACAGAGCCTGTTCTACCGTGCAATGCGTCGCCGCCCAAAGACATTTCTCACGCCCATTTCCGGGCATCCTCAAAAACCTCAGGAATTCCATTATTGCATGATACGCTTGCGCACACACAGGATCATTGCGGTGTGGATCCGAAAGGAAAGCCAGGACTAGGGCACGGGACCTCCAGTGTGGTCGCCGTCCCCAGAGAGTGTGCACAATTTCAGATTGAAACTTCTTCGAGACATCTTTAGGAATCTGATTGAGGGAGGCAGCATAGCAGAAACGTGGAATCACTTTCACCCCAAGGAAAAAGGTTTTCACTTTCACCGGAACCGGAAGAGCCCGAATGTGTTTAATTTCTTTAACAATGGCTTGTGTCTTCAAGTCTTCAAAGTGAAAAGCCTGGCGTTTGGAGGTAGTGACAAACGCCCCCAGAACCTCAACCTCAAGCTGAAGGGACATGTTAGGCCAAAGTTGTTTACAAGTCTTGCGGGCTTTGGTGGAGGTGCCCCAAACTACACATTTATTGTCATTCAGTAGCTGACCTGACAAAAGATCCCAAAAGCGAGTGATCTCGACGGCATGTGCAAGCTTGCTTGCATGCTCCAATCTGGCCCACAAATAGGCGTCGTCAATATAGGCCATGGCAACAACTTCTGGCAACAGGTCCATGAAAACAATCCAAACCTTGGAGTAGACATTGATTGCTACAAGCGAGAAACTGTCTCCCTGGGCTATGCCGTTGGCAGCATGGGTAGCCGACGGAGAGCACCAGCCCTTGTAGGAAAGGTGGCGATGAAGGCCATCATACAGTTTGCTGAAGATTGTGACAATTTTCTTATCTATTCCAAAAGCCAACATGAGGCAGGAGGCAAAAGAGGGTATCACTCGGTCAAAACATTTAGCTTTGTCGAGTTTCATGCCTATTAGGTCATAATCCTGGGCATTGGCAATGTCAATGTCGAGTTTCATCTGCATCTGGATGCTTGACATGTTCCTACCTTGCACCCCTCCGACAAGCTGGCAAGGCATGGCATTGATTTGCCAACCTCTTAGTTGGCGAAACCGGGCACCCGAGTATGCCAGATATAAAATCGGCAACACCGTGATCAACCGCTTCTGCATAGGGTGAGAAGATCCATTTTTGTTGAGGATCATCTGACGGGCGCACGTGAGGGTGGGAGGCAAAGGGTCATCTGACACTTCGAGTGCGGCAAAAACGGAGGCGAAAGGCCGAAAGCATTCAGCCGGCATCAATTGTAGCTCACCAGTCCGCCATCCATCAAGTCCTGGGGCGGCATGAGGATTTCGGGATTGGATGATGTGCCACAAGCATTGTGCATCAATCGGCTGACTCTCAAACCGCAACTCATGGTCACGAATGTAAGGCCAAATGATGTCGAGCATTTTAAGAGGGTGGTCCGCTTGAATGTTACATGCAAAAACGTCATCCCAAGCTTCATTAAATGTCCGAATGGCTTGTCTGGGATCAGTGATGATGTTGCCATCAGGATCCTGAAGTAGGTTGGCTGGTTCTTCACGTGCACGGTTACGCAAATGTTTAAAAATGAACTTTTTATCCGACCGAGCGTCTTCTTGAATTTTGGACTTCCAAGCTTGAATGCGGGCTAATTTAATCTTGACATCGAAAGTGCGTGCCGCATCCCCAACCCATGACAGATTCGTCCAAACCTGAAGCAAGGATGGAAAAGACCCACTCTCCCAGACAGAGGGGGCTTTTAAGTCTACAAGAAGCCTACGAATCTTGCAACAGGTATTAAAGGTGACCTGGGAGTCAGCAAAACCTCTTTGCGCTCGAGACAGTCGCAAGCAAAGCTCCTGGAGGCCCCGATAGGCACGGCAGTAACGAGACATGCGAGACTTGGAAGAGCCTCCAAACAAGTTCTGCCCCG